CAGCAGCGACCGCGTACGCAGGAACTGTTGGCGGCGATCAGCTGTTTCCGGCCTGGTTTAGTCATTTCTCCCTACTTTTCACTGTTTTTGGCTGCTTTTTTGAGGTTAGTTGTTCCTTGTCTTCACAAGGTAAATTATGATTGAGATTTCTCTAACCATAAGTTTTTGCGAACAATTAAACAATCAATAGATGCGCAAAAAATCGCAAAAACACTTCATTACAAAACAAAAAAAAGATCCACGTCCTAATATACTTCATAAAGGCAATAACACAACTTACCTGAAAAAAAATAGAAAATACAGTGAAAATTAGGGAGAAAATGGCTAAACCAGGCTGGAAACAGCTGATCGCCGCGGTCGTGACGCGCCGCAGCCGCGTCTGCGACCCTTTGACCGCCTAATCAACTGCCCGGATGACGACTGCATAAGCCCTGACGAGGAGGGGAAAAAATGAGATTATGTAATTGTGGGGTGCTAGTAGACGTGCCTTATCTCCTATAGTAAGTTCCGTGGAACCGTTTCCAATTTTTCGAACAAGATGAACAGTTCGGTCCTCAGTGTTCTGCCTGGCGATCTAAACAGGTTGTCGATCTAGACATCTTAACACCTAAAACTTTTAGTTTTCAGGGGATCACAATGTTCTGCACATAGTAAGCCAAATATGTTCTGCACATAGTAAGCCAAATGGGTGCGCGGCTTCAGCTGTCTACTAGGGAATTAACAGAATGGGATACGAGTGATTATGGTAACGCTGTTCGTGTTTTCGAAGTATGCGAAAACTTTCAAAAAAAACTGACAATCCGGTCCATCACTAGACTTTCCCATTCGAGACTCGCTGCTGCATAGGACGACAGAGCCAGCTTTAGTACCGCTTTTGCCGAGCCTTTCTTACACATGAGTACAATGCCATTTGCTCCTAAAAAACTGAGCTTTCGAACCTAAATCCAGATTTTCCGTCCTCCTCACTCCAGTGTGAATGAAGTGAGCAAAGAGTTGTGGGAGGCAGCCGGTCACAACCGAGTGACTGAATCCCTCGAGCGCGAAGTATGAACGCCGCCTTAGCTGCTATCATTACCGTAATCGCTTGCTTTGGATCATACTGATCTATGCTACCATGCAGCTCCTTATCACTATCATGAGGACGTAGCACGGTGGAGAGCTTTTGTGTTAGGCAGACCCACTTCCCGTTGTGGCTTCGGCGTGTCCAAGAGCGGATAGGAAAGGTGAGCGCGGGCGCCCAAACCCCGCCGCCCATTATATGCCGACTAGATTCACTTTATAACAACTAACGAGTATCTTGTATGTATTGCTCAAGAGATTCCCGCCCACGACAAAAGCAAGCCCGTCCGTCCCACCAACTTTCAGCTCCAACCTCTGTAACATTACGAAACTCACCGCTTCCTAAAGAATTCTCCATAGTCCATCCATCGATGACCTTCCCTTTGAGCACCGTCTCCACTTCATCTGGTTCCCAGCTGTAAAAGAGCTTTCCTAGGAATAACAAGCAGTGGGGAATGATCGTGCTAGAGGTGGGGCTCTCCTCGATGGTGGATCACTCGTTGAAAGCAAATCGCAAGCATTCCCATGGGAACCTCCCCCCATCTGTAAACCCTTATCTGCATAAGATGATCGAGAGGGGAGAGTGCCTGATTTGGGGATTCCTATGGATTGCGCGACTGCAGAGAGCGTAAGGTTTATAACTGGCGCAAACCGCGCCTCCACTGCTTCCAATTGTATGGATGATTACTCACGCAGTCTTGATTCCTGCAAACGATGGGGCGCGTAACGGAGCGTGAATTGGAGCGCCTCTCGGGAAGCCTTCTCACCAACTGTGATGGGCTTAGAATGACATCATTGGTGGATAACGCCGTCTCGGCTGCGCCTGAATCCAGCCCCAACATACGCCCTATCGTTTGCAGGTATCATGGCTATACGTCTCCAGCACCTTGTAACATAACCACCTTTCCCACCAGCACGCGCTCCAACACGCTGGTTAGCACCTATAAATATGAATGTAACGCTGCTACACCCCTTTCAAAGCAAGCATCGCAGAACCAATTATTCTGCCTGGTCAGTAAGATCACAAAGTTCATCCAGTCTCAGGACCACCACTAGAACTTTCCCAAAATTTCCTTCCCCATAGGTCAGTGCGATCAATTTTCGTCACATGAATTAGCAGCCATGTTCGTTGCAGACACTTCGGCGCTTCACAAAGGGAAAGTCAAGTCTGGAGCCGGGAAACCGCCGCTGAAAAGCTGACAAGTGCCCACGAAAACAACGAGGAACTCTCACCTCATGTTACTAGCGATGCCACCCTACGGAGCTGAATGACTAGAAATGAGGTACACTGCTTGAAGGGTTGATATCATGGTATTATCAACAAGCAAACATCAAACCACAGGGGATAAGTCTGGAAGAAATTCCTTGTCTCTGGAAGGATGAGAAAGAAAGAAAGGATAAAATTCTCGCCGTAGAGTAGACCCCATTTGGGATGCAGCACGCATTCTGCTGACAGTCAGAATCGTGTGCCTTATGGTAAGCGATGGGGCATAGACAATGAGTTACGGGGCCAGCCGATGCACAAGGGTTCTTATCCTATCCGTTTATTGTTTTTATCCTTTCAGGAGGTCTGTTACCGAGTTGCCGTCCCCGATTGTTAAAAGGCTTAGTTGTCCTGGGGGGGGGGAAGCCGATCTGATATTTGGACCCTGAAATGCGCGCGTGATTAACGTGTCATTCGCCATTCTAGAACATCACTTATTGATAGATGTACAATTAGAAGCAAAGAAAAACAAACATTGGGAAAGGAATACACTCCAAAGCACAGATGATCCGTCTTGCCAGGTATCGCCCGGTAGTAGGAAAAAAGAACACTTTTAGGGTGTAGATCGGGGGGGGGGGCAGAAAAGACGTCGCTCATGGCACTCGACACAGAGGGTTCACTTCGCAAAGTGTGCCAAGGTATATGGAGGACAGGATGAATGATCCCTCGGACCTGCAGCAGGAGCCACCCTTGAAACGCTGTATTCACCGTCGCGCGACCGTGAAGCCAAACATCATCGCCATCGAGCTCGAGACGGTTCTTGCACAGTTCTTGCTTGAGGCTGAAGCAGCTCTGCAATCTCCATGGTTGAATCATCCGAGTGGACTTCTGGAGTTGCTCTTTCAATGCCAGAAGATATCAGTCATTCAGCCTTACAGGGCTGGAAGGACCTGACCAGGACACGAACCTTAGCAGCGGCTTTTCACGCAAATGGTTTTTCCTCGGACCAAGGTGCCCTGTTAGCCACAAGACCATCTCACCCTCAGCAAACTGGGGTTTACACCCCTATCTTCCGGAGTATAAACCACAGTTTCGCCTTGAATACTTCGCACGGAAAGGGAGGGTCCAGTTCATATTCCACTCGAATCAAACATAACTTTTAAAATTTCGAATCTGATCCCTCTCGTGGGGGCCAACGATGAAATAAAGACAGAGGATAACTTCGCTCTTGGCTCAGTTGTCCTGCGGGACCACATTGTCAGTGACAGTTTGTAAACGAGGAAACTCGTCCGGATGCTACATCGCTCAATTTTAACCGCTAACGGTATGTTGTGTATGTAACTGGTGGTGAGTGGAGGGAGAGTCAGTCGCCTCTTGGTATCGCTTTCACCAAAAAAAAATTTGGCGAGGCGCAGACGCAGACGACCACAGTCGTCGAAAATTAGTCTTAACAAGGGAGGTCGTTCAGGCCGTGGTGAGCTTTTTCAAAACGGTTTGTTGCATGTTGTAGGGGTCCATGCGAGGACCACAGCGATGGGGTTCATTTTTGCTAAACGGTTTTGGGAATGTCAAAAAAGGTCAAAAACAATTCGAAAAGAATGGGCTTTTTAAACCACCTTATTCCCCTCTATTCTAGCTGTAGCGTTGACAGTGTATAGTATGTAGGGTATTCTTTGAGCAGGCATGAAGAACAGCGCAAAATAAGGTCAAAATCCAAATGGTCTACTTGGCATGCGGTGAGCTCCATTGGAGTTTTTCGGTCATCTCGTATCTGCTTCAACAGTTCTGGCCTGTACCTGCAGGCGCGCAGTGGCAGTTTATTGTTGGTGATGTGCGACGCGGCTTCTCGACGGTGGGTTTTGTGGATCGATCCCCGTTCGCCGGTACAATTCTGCATTTTTCACATTTCTTGCTTCTTGTATTCCTGTATGCCCCATAATGTGTATGACCCGGATATACGCCATTTAAAGACACATTCCATGCGGGAACCGTTCTCACAAATTGGCCTCACTCAATTATTGCGCTCGCGAAATACTATCGAAAAACTCTTCATGAAACTTGCTTTACGGCGGTTATCCGATGCTCCGTTCATGAACACGACACTCATTTTTGAATATATGGCGGCAATGTATCGCTGATTTAGGGGCAATAGGGTTTTCTCGTATTACTAATCAATTGTCAGTCTGGCGCGCGGGCTATTTAGCGCCGTACTGGCCCCAGATGGCCTTCGCGGCAAAAATAAGTATCTGAACCGTGATCAGGACCACAATTACCCCTACGTATAGAGTTACGCCGAGAAAAATTTTCCCGAGCTTTTGTGTTATGTTGCCGGCCATGTCTCCAGCTAGTGGCTATCAGCCCCCCCCCCTCTCCCCCAAGGAGTCGTTATCCAAAATCGTTAAGAGGAAGCTTTTCATTTGCTAGTATGCAGACGCAGAATTAAAAACTACACAAAAAAAGTGACGCACATACACTGCACTCCTCTCATACCTTTGATATGAGAAACAAAAACCTTTCTCCAGGCAATGTAACAGAGTTCTTTCTCGAAAGCATAGACGGTAAAAGTGAAGAAAGATCCAGGATGCTCGTTTAGTGGCTCCGAAGCTAGCAAGATGTTCTATGAAGACCTACTGAAGTTGAGGGGCAAGAAATGAAAAATTTCTGGCGGTTCGTCTGCCAGAGGGAATACTTAACGGAGGGTTCGCCTGTCACTGCCATCCAAATGGTCAGGTCCATGACCACTAAAGAAACTGACTAAAGAAACTCGAAAAAAATTTTTTTCGCTGAAACCTCTCAAACAGGGGTAATCAATGGCCCTGATCACGATTCTGACAATTATTTATGGCGCCGACGTGATCTGGGGCAAGTGCGCTAAAGGCCAAACTGTCGAGCGCGAAGGATGCTGCATAACCCCCTAAAGACATTGCAGTGGTACTCTTGTTAATGCCAAGGTAAAGACTTGTATTCGACCTTATTCAATGTTATTTTTCATGTCTAGTTGAGAAACACTTTAAACTCTTTGTATTCTGCTTTACAGCTGAAACAGATGCGAATGAGATGATAAAACTTGCGTATTTTAAGCGATTTGTTTTTATTCCTTTTTTGACATTCCCAATAGCGTTTAGCAAAAATGAAACCCATCTGTGTGGTCCTTGTATGGACCCCTACAACATGCAACAAATCGTTTTGAAAAAGCTCACCACGGCCTGAAAAGACGGCTTCCTTGTTAGGATACTAAAAAAAAATCAACCGCAGAACTCTCGCTCCTTCTTTGCATGCTTCCTTCTCTTTCTTATTTGGTCCCCACTTGCAAAAACTTAGCTAGATGGTGTGATGAGAAAAATTTCCTCTGGACATTCGCACGAGAGAATATCCTGGCGTCCCCCTCCCAAGTACGTTAGCGCCCATCTGGCTCATAGGATGTGAACCAAATTGTTATTTCAAGGGTTCGGTCGCACTCATCTCCGAAAAATCGCGAGGTGACTGGAGCGCGATTGTCACTCATCGCGCCGACGAGTTTTCCGCCGCGATGCGGGAACCCATACGATGCCGCGTCAGCATAACGGCTTTTTCGTTTGTTGACAATAATTCTGGTATTTTTTACAACGTGTGAGGGGGATTTACTGGATCAGCTGCTTCTGATTATCCGCTGCTTTGTTTTATATGGCGGCCAGCCACTGTTTTCAGCTGTGTTCGTCTTTTTTTCGAGTAACAGCCAAAGGATTCTAAAGGCTCGCTGGAAAAAAAAAAAGAATTCCTTTTCTGAAAATCAAGGCACGTCTAAATAATTTTACTATGAAATGTCTGCCCAGAACTACTCCATAATAGACTCTAACTATGCACCCTCATTAGATAACCGCTACTTCCCAGTTGTTTTTATGATAACTCATTGTGCGACTACGAATTGAAGAAAATCGTAGGTATGTATTCGATAGTCGACATGGCTGTTGTTGCCTCTAGGCGATTCCGCATGTGTACTGTTGGGTCCCTCGCTCGCCTTGCAACTTCTGGTTATTCAAATCGCTTTTTGGGCTCGGACGAGGAAATCAAACAGAGGAACGTACGTAATTCCATCGAGTTTTGATTATACTCGTTTCTTCCTGAGTTTTGCGGATCTGCACTTATACTCTGCGACACTGGAGAGTTGCGGAACTGTAGAGTCGGAGAATATCTGGAAAAGGCAAGTATATAATACCAAATCTGGCATGTCGAAAGGGATTGGAGATTCTGCAAATTCGAGGATTGCGCGAAATTAAGACTAGAATAGATAATCGTTTGACTCCGCCTATCGTCGTCTGCGACGACGATTCCTTCCCTCATCGTCGTCTCACAGTCTGAGACGACGATCCCTCATTAAGTCCGCCCCCTACCTGACGCGGGGTCAAGCCAGGTAGGGGAATCATACTTCCTCAATCATCCTCATCGACTATACGTGGGTTCTGCGTTACATAAAGAGCTTATTTCAACTTATTGTTCTTGTTCTTGCCTTGTATTAAATAACCACTGATGACGCGGGGTCAAGCCAGGTAGGGGAATCATACTTCCTCAATCATCCTCGATGTCGTAACTATACCGCGGGTTCCTGCGTTACATGCCAAGAGCTTATTCAACTTATTGTCGCTTGTTCTTGGCCTTGTATATAAATATACCACAATGATCCACCCAAGCATTTTGGTGAATGCGGCCTAAAAAAAATAGACCGAGTATAAATATGATCCATATGTGTAATATCCATATAGGAACGTATCTTCGATGACCCTAACACATAGAGCCGAATCGTGTTCTATAATAAGCACTTCCAACGAAACAAATATAATAGAATCGAACGTGATTCTATATAACAATTTCAACTTTTGAATATTCAAGTACTTTTGAAAAACAAAAAAATGGCGCTTCATTTTTACAGAAAACCCCATTGAATGTAAACTCCGTTGCCGGCGGAGTATCGTCGTCTGCGACGACGATTCCTTCCCTCATCGTCGTCTCACAGTCTGAGACGACGATCCCTCATTAAGTCCGCCCCCTACCTGACGCGGGGTCAAGCCAGGTAGGGGAATCATACTTCCTCAATCATCCTCATCGACTATACGTGGGTTCTGCGTTACATAAAGAGCTTATTGTTCAAACTTATATTATTAGTTCTTGTGCCTTGTATTCGAATAACCAACTGATGCGGGTCAAGCCAGGTAGGGGAATCATACTTCCTCAATCATCCTCATCGACTATACGTGGGTTCTGCGTTACATAAAGAGCTTATTTCAACTTATTGTTCTTGTTCTTGCCTTGTATTAAATAACCACTGAACCACCCCCAACACCCGCCACTTTCAGGAGGATGTTCGTCGTTCTCTGAAAACACCTGCCCATGTTGCGATTCTCATCAATGGTCGTGCCGTGAACAAGGTGATTTCATACTAGTAAAATCAATTTTCTCACGTTTGGCAACCTAATGTAAAGTGTTTTATTCTGAGCGTAGTTCAGCTTGGTGGGGGCAATAGCACAGCCACGGCGGACTTGCGCAACATTTTATCCAACAATCTGGCAAAAATTTCTATGACTAAAATGCATGTTTTGCACGCATATCCGTTTGTTACAAGTAGTTCCCTAGGTCTCCCCAAAGAGATCTAGTTTAGTTTTAACAGCTCTGAACTAAAAGAGAACCAAACTTCAACAATGCGCTGCATCTGGATTGTAACATTTCCCTCAAGTGTTTTTCTAACCTTCGGTTTCTTTATGAATATTTTTTGCAGTGATTCACTGATTGTGCATTTGAGTGTGTGTCTTGTGCAAAAACATTCTCGGACTGACAAATCTAATGATCCACTCACTGACATATTTCACCATCTAAGCATTAATGATCTCAGGATTTTCTGCAAATCCAAGGTATTTTCCACCTGAAATTACTGAATCTTAGGCGGCCTTACTTTGCGCCACTGATTCGAGCTTACGGCAGCATTTTTAGCGTTTTCGTGGGCGGTTCTGAGCTTAACGCTGGCGTACGCATCGATATCCATGCTATCATAGTCGCTCAAAACG